TGCACACTATCTTTAATGTAAATGCCTGGGTGCTCATCCACAACAGTACCAATACAAATCCTGAGTAGATACAGAGGCACTCATGGGTCTTGCAGCAGAGAGAAGTCAAACCATCAGCATTGTATTATCAACAGAGAAGGTCTTGAGAAAGATGGAATGAGCTCTAGAAATGTTGACAATAAAACACTGATGTTTTGACTTCTCTCCACTGCAAGACCCATGAGTTCCTCTATATTTACTTTGGATTTGTGTAAATATTAGGGATGTACAGACACCAAGTACCGTACTTGGTACAAATACAAGCACTGATACTTTTCTAGCTCCATTGAAAGACTAGACTAGAGAAAAACTCAAACGTTAGGAGGCAGCTGTCATTTTTAAGGAGCATTGGCTACGAGGCTGGGGATTCCCAGTTTTAAAGTATGATTTGTTATATATAGATAGATCTATATATATTTATATATAGATCTATCTATATATATACATATATAGATAGATCTATATATAGATAGATCTATATCTATATAGCCCTGGACAAGTTTTTTGGTACCCTTTCACAAATAAGAAGAACCTACTATTTTCTCTGAAATTACTTTATTACTTTCAAATTATTAGCATCTATCATTGTTCCATATTTAATAGATATGATACTTTGATTTTGATTTTTGATTCAATAGATAATTGTAAATAATAAAACAATTAAGTGACCCATAGCTATGGATGCACCAATACCGATACTAGTATCGGTATCAGTGCCGATACAGAGTATTTGGGCGAGTATTTGCACTCGTCCAAAAGCTTCGCTACCTTCTCCAATACCGGAACTTCCAGTCAGATGAAGATTTCCTCTAGCTGGCAGTGTCGTAGGGGAACATGGAGCCAGCTTCCTGGGCAATCAGGATGCTGGGTGGCGAGTAAGGACCCACCTCCGGCTTCCTGATTGGCTAGGAAGCTGGCTCCATGCTGATTGGCTAGGAAGCCGGCTTGCCAGCCAATCAGGATGTAGCTGGCTTCCAGGCCGATCAGGAAGCTGGGGAACAGGTCATTACTCACCGTCCGGCTTCCTTATTGGCCGGGAAGCCAGCTCCAATCTTCACAGGTTCACAATCGAGCCAGCCAAACAACATGGAGCCAGCTTCCCGGGCAATCATTACCCACCACGCTTCTTCCTGATAGCCCAGGAAGCCGGCTTCATGCCAGCGAAAGCACTGGTATCAGTACTTGGTATCGATACCGAAAAACCGGTACCAGTTTTCATCTGTGAACAGAGAGTTGATGCCACTTCCCAAAAAGCTATATTTTGTCTTTTCTGCCCAAAAGAGGATAATTGTGGCATGTCTTCCCAGGAGCATTGTGGTTTGTCAATATGCATTTTATCAAATTCCAGTCTGGCCTGTTTTATGTTTTTCTTTCAACAGTGAAATGTTCCTGGGCCTTCTTTCTTTGAGCCCAATGACACTCAAAAAGCAATGGATAGTGCAAATCGACACTGGTGTTCTTTGATCTTGGAGGCCAGTTTGTATCTCTTTGGAGGATTTCCTTGGCTCTTTGTCTACCATTCTTATTATCTTCTCTGTTCAATCTTTGGGCAATTTTCCTCCTGTGGCCACATCCAATTAGGAATGGCCGCACTCAGATGGACCCAAAACTTCTTCATAATATTTCCAACTGTAGTCACAGGAACATCAAGCTATTTGGGAATGGCCCTATAACATTACCCTTTGACATACTGGTCTATAATTTTCTTTCTTATCTCCTTGGACAACTCTTTCCTCTGCTTTTTCTGGTCCTTGTTCAATGTGGTGTGCACGATGATGCAAACAGCAGAGTGACTACATGTCCATTTAAATAGGCTGAATGATTGATTACAAGATTGTAGATGTGTGTGATACTAATTGCAGAAAACAGTTTGAAATATCACTATGATCCAATTATTTACAGGTGAAACTCAAATAATTAGAATATTGTGCAAAAGTTCATTTATTTTTACTAATGCAACTTAAAAGGTGAAACTAATATATGAGATATACTCATTACATGCAAAGCAAGATAGTTCAAGTCGTGATTGTCATAATTGTGATTATGGCTCACAGCTCATGAAAACCCCAAATCCACAATCTCAGAAAATTAGAATATTGTGAAAAGGTGCAATATGCTAGACTCAAAGTGTCCCACTCTAATCGGCTAATTAAGCCATAACACCTGCAAAGGGTTCCTGAGCCTTTAAATGGTCTCTCAGTCTGGTTCAGTAGGAATCACAATCCTGGGAAAGACTGCTGACCTGACAGTTGTGCAGAAAACCATCATTGAAACCCTCCATAAGGAGGGAAAGTCTCAAAAGGTAATTGCAAAATAAGTTGGATTTTCCCAAAGTGCTGTATCAAAGCACATTCCTAGAAAGTTATGTGGAAGGGAAAAGTGTGGAAGAAAAAGGTGCACAAGCAGCAGGTATGACTGCAGCCTGGAGAGGATTGTCAGGAAAAGGCCATTCAAAAGTGTTGGGGACTTTCACAAGGAGTGGACTGAGGCTGGAGTCAGTGCATCAAGAGCCATCACACACAGACGGATGCTGGACATGGGCTTCAAATGTCAGATTCCTCTTGTCAAGCCACTCCTGAACAACAAACAACGTCAGAAGCGTCTTACTTGGGCTAAAGAAAAACAGACCTGGTCTGTTGCTCAGTGGTCCAAAGTCCTCTTTTCTGATGAGAGCAAATGTTGCATCTCATTTGGAAACCAAGGACCCAGAGTATGGAGGAAGAATGGAGAGGCACACACTGCAAGATGCTTGAAGTCCAGTGTGAAGTTTCCACAGTCTGTGGTGATTTGGGGAGCCATGTCTTCTGCTGGTGTTGGTCCACTGTGCTTCCATTATTCCAGGGTCAACGCAGCCGTCTACCAGGAGATTTTGGAGCACTTCATGCTTCCTTCCGCAGAAGAGCTCTATGGGGATGCTGACTTCATTTTCCAGCAGGACTTGGCACCTGCCCACACTGCCAAAAGCACCAAAACCTGGTTCAATGACCGTGGGATTACTGTGCTTGATTGGCCAGCAAACTCGCCTGACCTGAACCCCATAGAGAATCTATGGGGCATTGCCAAGAGAAAGATGAGAGACATGAGACCGAACAATGCAGAAGAGCTGAAGGCCGCTATTGAAGCATCCTGGTCTTCCATAACACCTCAGCAGTGCCACAGGCTGATAGCTTCCATGCCACGCCGCATTGAGGCAGTAATTGCTGCAAAAGGGGCCCAAACCAAGTACTGAGTACATATGCATGCTTATACTTTTCAGAGGTCCGATATTGTTCTATGTACAATCCTTGTTTTATTGATTGCATGTAATATTCTAATTTTCTGAGATTGTGGATTTGGGGTTTTCATGAGCTGTAAGCCATAATCATCACAATTATGACAAATCACGGCTTGAACTATCTTGCTTTGCATGTAATGAGTCTATCTCATATATTAGTTTCACCTTTTAAGTTGCATTAGTGAAATAAATGAACTTTTGCACGATATTCTAATTATTCGAGTTTCACCTGTATAATCTTTTTTTAGGAGTAACAAGATATCTGTCCAGGTCATATTAGAATATCTTTGTTCAATAAGCAATAACATCTCTTTTTACACTTCTCTGCTATACCCTATGCCATAACAAAGGCATGCAAGTATTTTCTTAAGACAATTGCTTAATTTCCTCACTTTTCAGGAGAAATTAAGCTTTGGTTCAATGAACTGTAAGGGTACCAACAAATTTGATCACATCTGTGTAGAGTCAAATTTAATATAATTGACTTTTGTTACCAAGTAAATCCATTACATCCAAGTGAAAAAGATATTCCATATTTTGGCTGTACAACCTCTCTAATATAAATTTAGTGTGCTAGACTTGAGGCACAAATATATTAAGCAGTCTACTGTTTATCCAAACCAGGCATGTTTAGGCTTCAGCTCTTCTGGTTCATGTGTTTAACTTCAATATATGCTATATTTATTGTTTCCTGACAGCGGTGCTTGCAATGATTTTTAAACAGGACCATCAGATGCTGCATATTAACTATTTCCCTGTTCAAAATGCATTACGAGTAATGAGCTAGATTGATTTTCATCTGCAGTCAAGCAAAATGGTCTTCTTAACTGAAACAAATGCTAGAAATTGCAACTGTGCTCATGAAAAATAATGGTAGCTAGTGAGGCCACATAATATGTAAAGATAATTAAGGATGTTTTATGCTTTTCTCTCAGTGAATGCACAGCCACATCAATATAAATGTGGTCACTACATCATGCCGAATTGACAGTACAACTATAAAAAAAGAATGTATGCCATAAATGTTATATATGTAAACGCTGAGAAAATGGATGTCAACAGAAAAATCTCTACTCACCAGCTCAAACAAATTTAAGACTGAAAAGAGTTGCAACAAAACATTAACTTGGAAATCCAGGTAATAAGTAAACACATTTTAGGTAGAGCAACTTCTCACCATTTAGAACACTGCTATAATTTATTTAAAAAGCTCTTTAAAGTTCAACTCTGCACATACTGCATTTTTATTTGCTTTTGTGCCTATACACACATTTATCCCATATAAATATTTTAATTCCCCAGATGTATCAATGACAAATTATATATATTAGTACCTATGATGTAATCATTTAACAAGCAGTTTCTAAACAATATTTGGATGCCTGTGCAGTGGTACAATGTAATTTCATGTAACATGAGTCCTGGCCATTGTTTCCTGTGCTCATTTGAAGTTGCAGTTGGAAACTTGAACTTATCTCCTGTGTTTTTTAACACTACTGCAGATCAAGAGGAGGTGCTCAGCTTTGGCACCAAAGAAGAAGTGGAAAAAGAAGAAGGCATGCAGGCAGAAGATAGCAGCATTAAGATAGTTACAGTCCACACTCTCTTCATGCTGGTATGTTATGCTGGTATAACATACATTCTGTATGTATTCACAGCATTGATAACTACACAGTTAGAGGACAGGTCCCCCTGAAGGTAACAAGCAGCCAAACTCTCCAGTCCCCAGGGCAGAAAATAAAGTTTACAGTGGAAGAAAACTGAGTTTCAGTGAGTATATTACTGTACGAGTCAGCAAGATGTGGAAAACACAGCTGAGAAAGGGACATAATGTTTGCTGCTGTGCTAGAAATACATTTTCTGGCAATATATGATAGCTTGAATTCCCCATATGATATGCAACTAACCAAAGCTTGGCAAATACTGAGTTATAGATTCCATGAAGTTGATAAAAATGTGGTGATGCTGATGATATAGCTGCTTCCAGACCCAAAAGGGTAGATGAGCTTAACCTACTGATCCTGATAGGTAATATAATAAAGAAGTATGTCTCAGAATATTATTTCTTTGTGTAGTCTAGCAGAAGAATATGGCTAGGGGCTTCCAAAGTGTTGGGGCTCTTCATACTATTAAAAAGATTAAAGATGTTAATAATACTAACACCAACTCTTAACTGGAGCTAAACTACATAGATTTTCACTAAATATACCCTGTGTTTTTGGAAATATCTTTATGAAATATCTTATCTCTGTGTTGTACAGTTATAGCAACCACTTGCAGCACTGTGAACTTCAAGCATAAGAGTGATTCCCTCTAGGGAGTTGGAGCACATCATATTCTGATGGAATGCATGTCCAAAATCTAGTCCTTGTTGGCAGCTATAAACAAGCAGAGCTAAGACACACTTAACCATGTGTTACACAGGTGAGTATTCTGGAGTTTTTTGATTGGATGATTTCCATAAGAGAAGGAAGAGATGTCGACACTGAAGCAAAAGCCCCCCAAAGAATAGGTATAATCTCTATGTTTACATTTTTTTTTTTCAGCATATGATTTTTATTGATGTACAAAAGTACAAATATACAAATACAAAGATATAAAACTCGGCACACGGGTGTAGAGAAAACATTTGCACACCAGAGAATGAATAACAATGAATAACAACGAAACATTGACCCTTGGGTCTATGAACTAGAAACTGGAAGCTAGAAGCTAGAAACCAACACACTCGTATTATAAGGGCCACAATGTCCCCAACTCGACACTGTACGAAATGGAAGTGGAGCTCCTGCCTAGGGAGCACATCTTGATACAGGTTGTAACTCAAGACCTAAATAGGAGGCATAGTCATACACAACCCATCATTGGGGTCATACACAACCCCAATGACCAGGCTAATTTGTTCTCTAGGTACCATTTTGTGTATTGGAACGTAACCATTACGTCCTTCAATAGTTCGGGTGTTAACTAAGCCAAAAAGAATGCGGGCCATGTGTTAAAATTTTTTGTGGTATGTTCCTGGGTGAGCTGTGCCTCTAATTTGTCCAATGACATCAGTTTGCGAAGGAGTTCCCTCAGCGTCGCCAAGGTAGGTGGGGAGGGAAGTAACCAATTTATCAGTATTGTCTTTTTTGCTGCCAGTAGACATAGATGTTCCCACCGGGAGGGGTATTCTAACGATGTAGCACCAGAGGGGGACGAGGGTATAGCGTGGAATAAACAAAAAGCCGGAGTACAGGATCTTCGGTTGCCCTTGTTGTTATGCATGAAGGATAAAACATCCGACCAGAACTGCTGAATCTGAGGGCAGAGCCATATCAGGTGGTCTAAATCTGGGTAGGTGGCGCGACATTTAGGGCAAGCTGTTAGCCAATGCGGTGGGGTGCATGCGAACTTTAGATTGAATGCATAGAAGGCTCTGTGTACCAATTTAAATTGAATCTCCCTCCATGTTTCACATACAATGGCCTTCCCAAGCGATAGCCACCCATTGAGTAGCACATCTATGCCCATCTATGGACATGTCTGGGAAATACTGGGGGAGAATCATAACTAGCCGAGGATCTAATGTGTGATAGAATGCTCGAGAGGGATACCTTCTGTGTGGGTGAGTCTAAAAGTCTGTAGAACGACGTATGCGTCATCATAGACCATGGCTTAGGAAGGTTATTTTGGATGAAGTGGCGGACCTGGGCGTACTGTAAGAAGTGGCTATCTAGTATCCCAAAAGATGTTTGTAGTTCCCTGAACTGTTTGCACATACCCTGGGGTGATATTATGTCCTGTAAAGTGCAGATACCCCTTGATTTCCAAAATGAGAAAACCCTCGATTCTCTGCCAGGAATAAATGCCGGGGAGGACACCAGCGGCATCAGAGGAGAGACCACCCCTGGGATCCCATACAGTTTCCTGACCTCCCTCCATGTAATTATGGTGTCCCGCAGAAGGATGTTCGTTTTGATGAGTGCGGGAAGAGCTTTCCACGGAGTGTGTGGTATGTTCCTGGGTGAGCTGTGCCTCTAATTTGTCCAATGACATCAGTTTGCGAAGGAGTTCCCTCAGCGTCACCAAGGTAGGTGGGGAGGGAAGTAACCAATTTATCAGTATTGTCTTTTTTGCTGCCAGTAGACATAGATGTTCCCACCGGGAGGGGTATTCTAACGATGTAGCACCAGAGGGGGACGAGGGTATAGCGTGGAATAAACAAAAAGCCGGAGTACAGGATCTTCGGTTGCCCTTGTTGTTATGCATGAAGGATAAAACATCCGACCAGAACTGCTGAATCTGAGGGCAGAGCCATATCAGGTGGTCTAAATCTGGGTAGGTGGCGCGACATTTAGGGCAAGCTGTTAGCCAATGCGGTGGGGTGCATGCGAACTTTAGATTGAATGCATAGAAGGCTCTGTGTACCAATTTAAATTGAATCTCCCTCCATGTTTCACATACAATGGCCTTCCCAAGCGATAGCCACCCATTGAGTAGCACATCTATGCCCATCTATGGACATGTCTGGGAAATACTGGGGGAGAATCATAACTAGCCGAGGATCTAATGTGTGATAGAATGCTCGAGAGGGATACCTTCTGTGTGGGTGAGTCTAAAAGTCTGTAGAACGACGTATGCGTCATCATAGACCATGGCTTAGGAAGGTTATTTTGGATGAAGTGGCGGACCTGGGCGTACTGTAGGAAGTGGCTATCTAGTATCCCAAAAGATGTTTGTAGTTCCCTGAACTGTTTGCACATACCCTGGGGTGATATTATGTCCTGTAAAGTGCAGATACCCCTTGATTTCCAAAATGAGAAAACCCTCGATTCTCTGCCAGGAATAAATGCCGGGGAGGACACCAGCGGCATCAGAGGAGAGACCACCCCTGGGATCCCATACAGTTTCCTGACCTCCCTCCATGTAATTATGGTGTCCTGCAGAAGGATGTTCGTTTTGATGAGTGCGGGAAGAGCTTTCCACGGAGTGTGTAGAACCCCTGAGAGAGACCAAGGATGCACCATAGCTTGATTTAAGCGCGGGTCTGTGAAGTGTGAAGTCCCATGCACCCAATCTCTGGCATGTCTAAAGACGCTCGCTAGATTATAAAGTCTAATGTCGGGTATATTCGCCCCTAGTAAGGATTTGGGTTGTTGTAGCTTGTGCATGGCTATGCACGGGCGCTTTCCTCTCCATATGAAAGTAGCAAATGCTTTACACAACTTGTGAATATCTTCGTGTTTAATGAGTATAGGGAGCGTCTGCATAGGATACAGCAGCCTTGCAAAGCTGATCATGCGGATCGAATGGCATCTGCCCAGTATAGAGAGAGGAAGGTCATGCCATTTATGCAATTCTTGAATGATCTTCTGAAACAAGGGGATATAATTTAAGTGATATATATCTGTGGCTCTGGTGGATATACGAATACCTAAATAAGTTATAGCTCGTCTCTGGATGTGAATGGAGAGTTCAGGAGGCCAGTGGGAGGTGTCGATGGATTCCCCAGGGGACAAAAGCAAAAGTTCACTTTTGTGGCAGTTAATCTTTAGTCCCGAGAATGACCCATAGTGTCTTATGAGTCTGAGCACGTCAGGTACCTGCGTGGAAGGGTCAGACAACACCAGAATGATGTCATCCGCAAATAGGGCCAGTTTAACCTCATGGGGCCCCAAGCGACTCCCCCGGAATGTCGGGGAGGATGAAAGGGATCTAGATAACCAACGCTATATTAAAGAGCAAAGGGGACAACGGGCATCCCTCCCTCGTTCCCTTGTACAGTGGGAATGGGCGTGACATAGATGATTGTGTAAGTATGCATGCTTGAGGGGATGTGTAGACAGTAGTAATAAAACTCAAAAATGAACCTGAGAATCCCATACGTTGCATAACCATGGACAACCACTGCCAATTAACATTGTCAAAAGCTTTCTCCGCATCCAATGATAAAAGAGCCATAGGATGCGAAGAAGGCAGGTTCACCCGGTGGCCTTCCAGTACCATGAGAATCTTGCGAATATTGGACACAGCCGACCGGCCTGCAACAAACCCCACCTGATCAGGAGAAATCAGTTTTGGCAACACAGCTGCCAGTCTATTGGCTAGTATTTTGGACAGCATTTTGGCATCTAAGTTGAGTAGGGAGATGGGTCGGTATGATCCAGCCTGCGCAGGATCTTTGCCCTTCTTGGGCAGTAAGCGGATATAAGCGTCATTAAAAGTGGGAGGATATATCTTGCGGGACATTATGCCCTGGTACAGGGCTTCTAACGTAGGAGCTATGGCAGTAACCAGTAGTCGGTAAAATTCCGCCGAGTAACTGTCTGGGCCGGGAGCTTTGCAAAGGGGGGAGTGATTAATGACTTCCAAGATCTCTGACATAGTGATATCGCCCTTCAACCATTCGAGGTCTTCAGCAGACAAAGAAGGTAGTTTTAGAGAATCCAAAAATTGAGCACCAGCGGGCAAGTCACCTTGCTCGGGCCCATACAGTTTCCTGTAGAAGTCACTGAAAATATTGCCTACCGAGGAAGGGTCAGAGTGTACCACCCCCTTCTCGTCTTTTAGTTGCAGGATGTGGGAGCAAGTTCGCCCACCACGAGCCAGGTTAGCTAACAATTTGCCCGACTTGTTTCCAAACTTGAAGAGTGCCAGATCGGCCGGGTTTCTAAGTATTAGGTCATGTTGGTGCAGCCAATGGTCGCATGCCTGTTTGGCCGCCAACCAAGATGCCCTGTGTGTCGGGGAGGGATCATGTTTGTAGTCAAGGTACGATCTCCTGGCAGCCGTGCTCGCCTCCGCATACCTTCTCCTGATCAGCCTTTTTTTCACAGTAGCATATGCCAGTAATGTTTACATTTTTTGTCTACCTTTTTCTGTGCAGTGACAGGTGAATGAAGTAGTACTCTACTACTGATGCAGAGGAGCATTTGCTAAAATGCATAAGTATTGTTTTCTTTACATAAGGATCTCTTTTTGTTACAACAGTCAAAACAAATCCGGAAAAAGATGAAAACAGGAAATGGAGAAGTACTTAATGGTGGCTATGCATTCATCTGATCTGAATTGAATCTTAAGCTTAGTGGTTCAATCCCATCATCTCTCTTTAGTACTTGTGATTATCTGTGCATAAGTTGACATGTGTACTTACTGTTGCGCAGTAAGAAGAGGACCTTCTTACTGCGCAACCGTGTCTTGGTCCCACTAATTTCTATGGATGAGCAATACTGACAAGAACTAAAGACACAACTGAAATATTTCTATAGAAACTGTTTAACCTGTTGAAACATATGTAATTCTATGCAACCATTGTCATACTTTACATACCAGTACCACATTACAACCATTTTATGGCTATATACAACAATAAAAGGTGGATAATACCACCCTTAAAAAGTACCTATATAGTAGAAGCCTAAAAAAGGCAAGTGAATGGAAAGGACTAGTGAGAAGTATTGCCTGTAGTTTCCCTCCAGCTGATCTTTTACCCAGGACCATATTCCACGCTGTTTTTCTGTTTGGAGGTGACCATATATGTAGAACAGCAGAACTATGTTTCCTGATGTCAGACTCTGCTGACACCCCATCAGTGATTGGTGGGAAAATGATCGAGAAACAGGATTTGCAGATTTGAAGAATTAATCAAGCAGAAGTAGGGGAATGCTTACAGTGTAGGTTCACAGGTACAGGGTCCTTTTAAGCAGGCCCTTGAAAAAACAATGTGTAGAAAAGTGAGATCACCAAATTGTACCCCAAATCTTGTTGGAATAGCAGTAATCAGAGGTAGCAGTGGACAGGTTATGACTAGCATAATTTCACACAGCAGTTATGATGCTACACAAACAGACAGGAAGTGCTTCTTTGAGGAGTCATGTAGGTAGATTTTTTAGTTTACAGTTAACCATTCTACTAGCAGT